CCGTCCCCCATTCATAAACTGCTTATTTCAGCTAGTTTATATTAAGCATGCGATTGGCATTAACACAGGACAGGGGACACGGTTGTGAGTTTTTCAGTCCATCCATCTTTATTCATGGCGAGGTCCCGAGTGGGGCAGTGGGCTGATGCGGGTGGGCCCTGCCTCTGCAGAAAGCCGGCCTTCGTCAGCCCCGTTTCCCGGGGACTGGGCCGTGGGACAGCAGGATTATGGCAGGAGCAAGTAGGTGCCTCGATGCGGGGTGCTGGAGTTCCCCGGGAGGAGCCGGAGGAAGATGGCTGTCGACGGCCGGTTTCCGTGGTGATCAATGCGCAGCTACAGCTGGTTGAAGGGGACCAAATCCATCGAAAAGGTGATTTGGTTCCATTTTACCAGCTTTAGCAAAGCATTGCGCATCGCTGGTCTCTGGGCCCCCTGCCACATGGGGGGGCGCAGCGTGGGGTTCCCTCCATTACTCCCCCCAGGAGAATGCAGAGTGGAGGAGCAGGCTGAGATGGGGGGGGGGGGGGCATTAATCTCATCTTTACTGAACCATCTCTTTGTAGAAAAGCTGCTCCCCTGCAGAATGCATGTGCTGCAGACCTTTACCGTCCGAAGGTGCACGGTCGCCCCCCCCCTCCCCGGCCCTCCACCCACTCTCCAGCCTGCCTCCGCCTCTCGCGCATTCATCCACCTTCTGTCGTACGGGCAGCACAGTCGCCGCATGAGTAAAGGCACGTTGATAAATGTCGCAGGGCACTCGTGGTTTTCTCGAGCCCTAGAGTAGAGGGGACGTCTCTGGGTGTGATCGATAGCAAGCCGTCGCTGGGGGGGGGAGCGGAGCAGCGGGCATGAGGTGGCATCTGGTGTGCCCCCAACCCCCTTCCTGTACACCACTGTTTATGGGCCGTTCCCCAGTATCCCCTCTGCTCACTACAGTGCGGCTGGAAACCCCTGTTTGAGGCGGTGAAGGAACAACTCTGCTGCGGAGGACATTAACGCTTGCGGGGGATATTTTTAAGACACCCCCCCCCGCCCCCAGACATGCACACTCACAAACGCGCGCACACACACCCACAGCCATTGGTGGAAGGGCCAGCTTGTCAGCTGTTGGAGGATGTTAGTGTTTCTGGATTCCTTCCCCCCCCCCATCCATGATGGGAAAGCAGGAGGGGGATGAAAGTGGGTCGGGGGCAACAGGACAACAGAGCTTCTTTTTTTTCTTTTTTTTTTTTGGATAATATAAGCATCTGTTGTACTTGACATTCTGGCTGCATGCGGGGTGCATAGGTGGGCTCTCAGATTAAGCCAAGCCCCCCCCCCCACTTCCAAGGACAAATTGCGTGAGGAACATGAGTGGAAGTGTCTATGTGGCCCTGGCTGACAGGTGTCCCTCTCCGCAGACCCCCAGTGGCCCCTCTGCGCTACAGCCAAATGAGGCCACCCTCCATATTCCTTAGCGTAAACTGAACAGCGCCGTGTCGAGATGTGGGGTGCAGTCGAATGGGGGTCAGCTACATGTGAAGCCGCCTCTGCCTGTTTTACTGGCCAATTTTTGCTTTTCTGCTTCTTTATTCCAGGTCTTTGACTTATTTATTAATATTTTTTAAAATTTATTCTTGCCAGTGCAGGATCGCCCGCTTTAAAATTCTGCCCCCGCAGCCTCGGGTTTGATAAGTTTGTGTTCAAACAGCCGGTTTCATTGTAAACACGGGGATTCCGGTAAACGGGCGGCATTTAAATTAGGCGCAGTGAAAAGGTGGAAGCGGAACGGGCCTGAGTCTGAATCTTAAGCAAATAGCCATGCAATAAGGACATGCCCCCACACCCTGACACTGCACGCGCAACATGGTCAAGTTGGCGCGCGGGGTCGCTCTGCGTCCCGTATACTCATATCCTTACTCTTAAAGTAGCAAAAGCATGCGGAACTTTGCGTGGAATTATTGAGGTTTAGTGGAAAGGCGAGAGAGGCAAAGGCAGGAATGTTTGCAGTCACATTCGTGGCCCAACGACAAACAGCTAACGATCACCCTGACCGCCCTGCACCACCGTCCTCCCCCCTCCCCCCACTGGCTTCCGAACAAGCCTCTGCATTGTCCATATTCCCGATTGTTCCGACCTGTCATTCTACAGTTTGCGGCATGTCAAAGGAAAATAATGACGAGGTAGTTTTAGGAGTCGGGGTGGGACACAGTGGCCAGAGTTGAGGGTTAGTTGGGGGGGGGGTGGAGGATTGAAATGTCAGCCGTATGATACAATATTGTGGAACAGCCGGTGCTTTTAATAGCTCACTTTCCTCTGGAAGCTTCTGTAGAACAAGTGGACAGCTAATCAACGCGGCTACCCAAAAGAAAGCCTTTTCTGCTCTCCTGTCTCCTGTAAAAGAGCATTGAAAACCCTTTAGCGGAATGCACTGCAGTTAGGGTGTGATTAGTTAGCAGGAAACCCGCGATAACCTGCAAGTTGTAGTCGTTAGTGAAAAACCAGCCTTTATGCAGTAGTTCTAAGCTGACCTTGATTTTAGTTGCTATTTTGTGAGAGTGCTTTGGCGATCTCACCAGCTCCTTCCATGCTCGCATGCGTACACTCTGACTAGCGCTGCTGCCCGAATCCTGCGAGCGAATGGCGTCGGCTAGTTCTCACCCGCAACATGAAGCATCGCAACTTTCCCCGGCTTCCGTCCCAACAATCCGGGTCGACACCCCCTCACCTCCCCCGCTGCGGCTCCACGTCGACCACACGCCGGCTGCAGACCCCCCCCCCCCCACCCCCCGCCATCCATGAAGTACGACATCGACACTTGCTCTGTTCAGACCTTAAATAGCAATGCTGTCCTGCGCAGAGGATCTGGACCTGACCAGAAATACATACTTCTTTACATTCCATAGCTGTCATATGTCCATATGGGTACATAAAGAAGTATGTACGTCAAGTAGGCATGGCTGCCGGCTCCAACATGCTTTACGTTTACAAGGCTGTTCTCTGAACCCTCGACTCAGGGTGACTTTTAGCTGAGGGTTTCCCCCTATCCAGAGACGCTAAGAATTTCTCCATGCACGTTCACTTAGTCGAAGTCCATACCATGCACCTTTTTCCATTCGCCCCAGCTTTTTCTCCAAGGAGAAACCCTTGTCCTCTACAGTCTTGCTTGTGGTGTCCTGGGAATAGGAGCATCCTTCAGGCCGAATGGCATCAAAAGGAACCAGTACTTCTCTCTCCCTTGCACTCGCGCTCTCTCTCTCTCTCTCTCTCTCTCTCTCATTCTCTCTCTCTCTCTCTCTGCACTTTTGCCCACTCCATCGGCAACATGTCAAAATGCTGATGTCCTTTTGGGGTGGGGGGTGGAGTGATTGTACAGGAACAGGAAGCCATTGTGACGAGGCCAGTGGTCACGTGAGAGGGAGTATCCACTGAGCGCTCCTGAATCGAACCTGTTTCTCCCTCCCCTTCTCTTTCCTTCCTCTTTCTCCATAGTTTGGTAACTGCAGGTGTTTATTTTGAGGCCAGACGTCTCGTCCCGGCTGCAGCTGATCAATGACTATTTGCATGGCGACGTGAAATATTCAGTTGGTCTCTAATGAATCTTTACCCCCTCGCCACACATTCCACAAGTCGACACTGCTTCCCCCCCACCCCCCTCCTCCCCCCCACCCTGCTTTTCAACGTGATACCAGGCCCAGAGCCTGGGGGGTGGGGGTGAAGGAGATGGAAACGCACTTGCTATTCTAGGCACTTGTGAAGATCCCGGATAATGTTGTTATGAGTGAAAGACTCCAATATTTCTGCAACGGGTCGGTTCGGAGCAAAGAAGTCGAGTGACGGGTTGCACATAGAGGGCATATATATATATATATATTTTTTAAATCGCCACACTTAAAAGGATTGTTCCAGAATGCATCGTGGAGCTCCCTGTGATTATGAGCGTGATATTCTGATGGAGAGTCGGTCTGAGAGGGAAGGACACAAACCGTCTGTGGCACCTTCTGCCGTAGAGCGAGCAGCGCCGTGCTTGGGGTCCTGGACTCGCTCCTGCCACACGCATACCCACCAGGTCCCAGTGGATGCACTGGAGGAAACTGGGTTACTACCCCAGTGCCGAGGGTTCACCGTTGACACACATCCCTGGCCCCGCCCAGGCTTCATGCACCACGACGGCAGTCCGAGTTAAACTCCCCTCCCCCATCCAAACTCACGTCCCGCCGTAATTCCTGTGAGTCCTCGTCTGGCTCCAGTGTGTAGCAGACGGACAAGGCTGAAGCAGTCCCCCTCGCAAACAGGTCAGCTTCAAACTGGCACGGTGCTCAGATCACCGTCAAGACTGTAGCCTTGTCAGCAGGGATTGGCAGCGGGTGAGGGGGGGAGCACGTGGCACTGAGCTTCCTGACACAAAAAAGAAGTCGCATTCCTTCAAATAGAGGGTCGTGGGTATTCCGTGTCCCTGTTTGGGCGAGTTACCAACCCGGTTGCTGGGTAGTAAGTCCAGTGTAGCGGTGAGCTAACGTCACCCCAGGCGTTTCGTAGGCATGGTCTAACCCCGAGCGACGCCTTCAAACTTTCCCATCCCTCCACCTGCTTTCCTTTTGATTTTTCCCTGCCTCCATGATCTCCCCCCACCTTTCTTCCCCGGCACCGTGGGGGGTGGGGAGGGCATTGAGGAGAGAAACACGAATCCCAAGCAGAACAGTAAAATCCACTCACCGCTCTTCCGCGCCTCTATCGCAGTGGAACGAGGAACCGCGTCCGAGGGGCGTTTGCCGTGGAGCTGCCGGCGCCGGTTGTGGTGTCCCCGCCTCCCGAGCGAGCGGCCGCCCCCCCCCCCCCCCCCCCCCCCCCCCGCCTCCTTGTCAGTCGCCTGAGCAGCGGCCGGCCCCTAACCCCCGTGGACAGGAGCGCCGCGATGACCTACAGAGCGCTCCAGCTGCTGCAGCCCGGGTGTTACCGGCGCTACGCCTGACTCGCTGAATCAGCTCCTCTCTCTGCGAGGGGCGGCGGGGCTGGGGGAGGCGGAGGAGGGGGTGGGGAGTGTAAGGGATGGTTCGGAGGGGAAGAAGCTCACTCGCGCCTTACCTCGAGAAGGGGAAAGGCATCGCATAGATGGAGCCGCTAAGTAAGACTGGGTAGGGGGGTGCAGAGGGCGCAGCCTCCGTTAGCCTCCTCGTCTGCGCTCTCTAAGCTGAATCGTGGAGCTTCTGCTCTCTCCGCTCTGGGGAAAAATCTGCAACGCCTA